GGAAAATTTGAAAATTGACAAACTGTGGTTACTATGGAAGAAGAAGAGAAAGAACAATGAAGAGAGAAAGAGTGTTATTCGAGCCGGGGAAAAAAATGGCTTGGGTTGGTGTTTTAGGGTAGGCTTAAGTTAGGCTAAGCTTTAGTTTGTTAGGCTTAGGTTGGGTTAGGAGAGATAGACTTAGGCTAGTTTGTTCTTAGTTTAGGCTTGATTGGTTTTAAGGGAAGTGGACCATAGTTTTAGGTCCAAACTTTGGTTAGCGAGGGAGAAGAGCTAATGTAATCCAACGAAGCCATTCTAATGGGCTTAAAGTCCCAATAACCCTAATTTTGGCCTTTTTTCCAAGTAAACGAGTCCTAAAATTTTAATATACATGCCTTTTACTTTTACTCATAGTTTAGACTTTTTTATGCCTGTTTATTTATTTAGTCAATTTTTTTTTAATTTACTTTCAATAATTAAATTAGATAAATAATAGGTGGACGAGTCATCATGTTTTTAATTTTTAGGGATTGATGACGATTCTCCACCAATAAAAAATATAAAAAATAATAAAATGATTTAAAAAATGATAAAATGAAAAAAATGAAAAAAAAAAAGAAAATGATAAAAGAAAAAAAGAGATATTAAAAAAAGGAAAAAAGAAAAAGAAAAAGGAAAACTCGCTAGGTGAAAATGATAAAAAAAAAAAAAAAGTGAAAAACAACAAAAGAAAAATAGAGAAAATTAACAAAGTTTCCTAACCAATATTGGATGATATAAGTTCAAATCAATCATGTTTTAGTAATTAATTTATTCTTTGACATATCGATTATGTCGAGATTTAATTGGATCCGATGTTGAATTGATGAAACTCTTGATGGCGGAGTCCGACGATTGATTCAATATGATGCTACAAACAAAAAATAAAAAATTAATTTGCTTTAGGAAATAAAACTTAGAATTTTGATTTAAGATTGATTTTGAAAAAAATAAAAATTTTTAGGAGATAAACTTTAGAAAGATGCTTTTGTGTTATTGATATCTTCCCAAAAGCACAACTAACTCCTTACTTTAGAGTTTCTAAACCGAGTATCCATTTTAGGTTCTTATTTGCTTTTAATACTAGGTGGCAACTCTGAAATTAATAATTATTCATATCCCCAAACAAACCAAATTTTCAACTAATAAATCAATCATAAAATTTTGAGAGTCCCGCAAAAGTCGAATAGTGACATCTTTGTGAAAAAAACACTCGAAGTATTTGGTATTTATGAGAATTTGTTCTTTTTCTTGACTTTCCGAATTCAATCATTAGATCTAGCATCCCGGAGAATTTATTAAATTCTTCTAAATTCTTCTAAATGTACCGAATTGATGTTGAAGTTGCATCCTTAAAATGGTCAAATGAAGAACTTAATCTCGATTAATGTAAAAATGGTTGGTCTAGGAATACTCTTATCGTAGAAAAAAAAATAAAAAATAAATATTAATTGACAATTACTTTTTAAAATTAATATGTTTTTATTTTTATTTTTATATAGCGTTTCCACTCTGCTAAATAACCTAAGTTATATCAGTTTTAATGTGATCATCAAATATTACATGTTACTTCATTTAAGTTGAAGGGGGCAAAAAGCAATGAGTACTGGAGTTAATTATTTTCATCTCTTCAGGAGTGTTTAAATTTATTAACATTATCCTAATTCTTTGTCTTCAACAATACAAGATTTTTATTTGATAATATTTTTAAATTTATTAATTCAATGATTCACGATATATATATATATGAACAAATCTCCTTAACTATTACACAAAATTCTTTGGAGTTAAAATATATTAATGTTGAAGCTTGGATCACTTAACCAACAAAATTGGTAGGTGGCTGATTTACTTCTGTACTCTGAGTTCTCTTTTTTTTTTTTTTTTTAATGCACTTGAAGAAAGAAACGGTGAAATGGCAAGATGGCTTTTGCACAGTTTACACTTATGAAGTGTGTATTGCAACTTGGTTCCAATATATGCGATCATGATTGAAATAACAGTACATTAGCTAGATGTACGGAAATAGACTTCTCAAAAAGCCTGGGAAGTCAATTTCCATCATCTTGTACATGTAGTTGGACCTGGAGGTTTCAGAGACCCACCCAAAAGCACAGTGCTTTTCCTTCAACGACATAACCTTTCCCCCATCTATACTGAACAAATTAAGATATATAGGATCAAAAACTTTCCGTCAACAGCCATTGAGGCAATGCTGCTTCATGGAACTAGAAAAATGACTAATTAAAGCCGAAAAGGAGGGTTCTGGGGACCATGTGCAATTTGTAATTTGATTTGATATTTAATTAAGCTGTTTTGATTCGAATTTGAATCTTAGCAAATTAACCTAATTTATTTACAAATTAATTTCAGCACAAAGTTCAAGCCTTATATATTGTGTCATCTCAATTAAGAAATGGAAACATTCTGCAATCTACTCTCATCACCTGACAATTTGGGTTTCTTTTTTCTTTCAATTTGACTTATATATATATTATCATAATTCATGCAACATCATGCAATCTCACTTCTCGTATTATAGAATATAATTAATAACTTTGACGATGTTGTCAACCAATATGTAACGTATAATTAATTTTCTAGGCATCCTTGGCTTTTGGTTAGGCAAATTATACCGCTCAGAACTCTGTTGCTAGAACAAGAATAAGACGTGCTATGTTAATTTATTTTTCATTTACCTCTTTCTTTTCTTTTCTTTTTTATATATAACTTTGATCAGATTATATTTTTCCAAGAATACTAAACAGCATGATTGGTCTCTCTTCTAATTTAAAGTAATAACAAAATAGTACAACATCCACGGGAAGAGTTTTACTTCTTCCATTTTTAATTAGATAACTCCTTTGTTGCTAAGTTACAGTTCACCTAAAAAGAACTACAATCCACACTAACTACATAAAAGAAAAAAAAACAATTAGAAAAATGAAATAGAAGCCAAAAAGAAAAGAAAAAACAATCCAACATTGTTCTTGGATGAATCATAAAAAATTCTCAATCACACACACCCACCGACTTTTTTTGTTGGAAAATAAACTTAATTATGGCTAAGTATGAATAAATAAGTATGAATGTAGTCATTACATTCATGAACCTAGTTATGTGTGATGTGCCATTAATATAATGTTTAGTATTCGCGTGTTATTTAGTATTCTATGTGTAATAATTAAGGGATGTCTAATATCTCTATATATAATTATAAGTGATTTGATATTACGTAGAGTGGAGTGAGTTAAGTTTCTAATAAACAAAGTGTCTTTTATCAAGTGTTCTTGTGTCTCTTCCCTCTCTAAGTAATTTCCTTCTTGTTATCTTTGTGTGGTGTCCGAAATTTATCCCCAACAATTTGGTATCGAGCCTAGTTCGGGTTCCTATCTCCAACAAAGTAGTAGCGGAGCATTGGTCGATTGTTAGTAAGACTAAGAAAAGGTTGAATTATGCACAAGTGGTAGAAGTACATAATTGAAGCGAGTTTGTTGAAAAGAGAACCTGTTGAGTTAGTATGAGTTAAGAGTTGGACTCCATAAGAAAAGTAAAAAGCTCGGTGAAGAGTTCTTTTAAAAGCAAGAGTGAGGTCAAGAAGAGAACCTCGCAAGAAGAAATGAAGTGTATTGTGCTCGTTGTTGTTTCAAGCAGCATTCAAAATGTTTTTGAAGGAATTACTTGAAAAATTGAATTTGCCTCCGGCAAGTTATTCGTGTGAAAATTGTGGGCAAGATCATTCTCCGAATTCTTTACTAAAGTTGAGTTTGAAGATAGATTGGGAAAACATACCAATATGGATTCAAGGCATATATCAAGAAAGATGCCAAAAATGAAGCAGCTTTGCTTGTGATAAGACATTTGAAGTGTGTCTATGACATTATCATAAAGGATGTTAATGAAAGAGAATTATATGAAATAAAGTTTGATCTGAGCCAAATGTAAGATGTATATGAGGATTTGAGGCACGATTATGATAATGTTGTCCAAGAAATGCAAGAACTAAAGAAGAAACTAGAAGAAATGGAATCTGGAGAATCGAGCACTAATGGAGTAAATTTTAGAGTTCTAAGAAGAGTTTTTGCTATTTGAGATTTTTCTCTTGGATATGGACCAAGTAATTTTTTTTTGAAAAGTCATGACCGAGTAGATAATTAAGTTTACGGGGGATGTTGGAAACTAAACTTAATTATGGCTAGGTATGAATAAATAAGTATGAATGTAGTCATTATATTCATGAACCTAGTTATGTGTGATGTGTAATTAATATAATGTTTAGTATTCTATGTGTTATTTAGCATTTTGTCCGTAATAATTAAGGGATGTCTAGTATCTCTATATATAGTTATAAGTGATTTGATGTTATGTAGAGTGGATTGAGTTAAGTTTCTAATAAACAAAGTATCTTTTATCAAGTGTTCTTGTGTCTCCTCCCTCTTCAAGTAATTTCCTTCTTGTTATCTTTGTGTGGTGTCTAAAATTTATCCCCAACATTTTCTCTCACTAAAGAAATAGGAGATATGATCGAACTCCGAGTTGAAGCTAATTATATGTGATATACAAAGACAAGAGTTATAATAGCTGAACTATATAATATGCCGACTTCAAATCTAGACAACATAATTAGTGACAAGGTTAAAAAAAATGATAACGAACAATAACCCTCGAAAAGTAGAAGGAATATGAGTTTCTAGATCGGGGACAATGCTAGTTTGCTTTAAAATCTAATATCTTGCGAACTTCAAGAAACTTTAGGATTGACTAATAAACATAAATGCATCTTAATTATAATACAATATCATAAACCGGTGCAACAAGCTGATTACAAACTTCTAAGATTAGACGTGTTAGTTTGTGTTGATAAGGTGGCACCAGTTCACCTAATAAATAGATCCCGAGTCGAAGTTCCAAATCCAAATCATTATTGGAGTCACTAACAAGACCAATCTCCAAATCTAACCCCACAATGTTAGCCTTCTTCAAGATCTTGAATCCTTCTTGTTGTGTGAAATCATCAAAGTTTTCGAAGTGAAGAAGGATTTTCGAGCTCCCTTTGTTGTTAAATCGGAAAGTTTGGGGCTTGAAGGGTCGAGAGGGGTACCATCAATGGTCCATTTCTTGACTTCATAAGTTAAAAGTGGTGTAGGTAATGTAGAAATAGGAGAAACCAAGGATGGTAATGTACGAGTGAATGGAGGATATACACTAGGGTTAGGGTTAAGGTTAAGGTTCGGAATAGGACACCGACCATCCCTTGATAGTGACGGTCGTAATCCGGCTCTATCTCTCCTATGAACATTCATGTGACCTCCAAGAGCTTGAGTAGATTTAAATTCCCTTTTGCGAAACTATAGGTGTACGATCTTGGAGACCACGAAAGCCCACAAAGATAATCTTCTCCATAGCTTTGGAAGCTACTAAAGTTCAATGAATCACTAAGCTTCTTGTTGTTGTTATTATTGTTGCACGGTCTACTACTAATGCTATGGTCTCTCAAGTCGCTACTCAAACTATTTCTCTCTATGAGTTCTTTATAGTTGAGTCGGACCTAGCAAGATAAAAAAGACAATAGTCTAGCTCAAATCATATCAATTTATAAAAGCAAATTATCAAAGTACAAAAGAAAGAGAGAGAAACACAACTAAGCAAAAGATATACTCTAAGGTGAAGGTCTAGAGTTGGGTTTTGGGTTTAACGAGACGGAGAGAAAGAGAGGAAAGTGGAGTGATTAATAAAGTTGGAGCAAAGAGCACATCAAATTCAGAACCGGAAGATGGAAGTCCCATTAGAGGTGCTCGTCCCCTTCAAAGTGCTCCACATGATTTGGTCACGGCTTACTATATGTACTAGAACCTCGGCCAGCCAGTTTTTAATTACCTTTATGCCAAATCTAGCAAGAGTTATTGGATGTTTTTCACTTATCTTTAATTTTTACTAAAATACATAGTAGTCTAATTTTGTGCAACAAGTGTAATGAAAACTAGAAAGTAATGCGTAGAAGGAATTTAATTTTGATAAAACACTCTTCTTTTATGAAATAATGAATGTCCATCTTCATGTTCATCTACTTTTCATATCCCCACTACTCTTAATTCTTAATATGATTCAATTCATCATTCAATATGAGAAATATGAGAAATTAAAAGGGTGATACAATTGATTATTTATAGTCCCTTCCAATTCTCTTCTCAAATTTGAAGCCTATAAATAGACTTGATTTTTCATTAGTTGGTATACAAGCATTTTGTAAAGATTGTGAGAATTATTTAGAGTTGTTACCTCTTATATTCTCTCTATAGTGAAATCATTTCTTCATCATTTTTCTCTTTAATTCTCTTACTATTTTGATTTCTTTTATAATAAATTATCAGCACGAAGCTCTAACCAATCGAGATAATAAATCATGAGGTATGTATCTATCAAAAGACTTAATCATTTATTTCAATCATTGAATTTTTTCTACACAAGTGTTCTACTAAAAAATCTAAATTATATAGATCATCAAGAAGTATGTATCTAATTTATCATGTACTTTAAATCTAACAATACTGTGACGCCCCCACCCTGGTCCACTCTCTATTACCCAAATAGCGATGAATCGGCAAGGCACGCCACGCCGATATGACCAATTTCCAAATTAATCTCAAACAAGTATGTGGTCATACATGAAGGATTTATCATACAATGAAACGCGTACAACATAATTTACATAATATTAACAATAAAGTGAAATGATTTACAAAATTTATTTACAATACCATCAAAATGTTCCTCAACACCCTAACCCTAAAATATCAATCAAAAGAAATTTCGGTACACTTGTGTCACACATGAGCTTTTTTGGACGATCCAGCAGCGTCTTTATTAGTATTAACACTCGCTTTTACTGTCATGGCATGCAAGAACAAATAGGATGAGCCGGAGCTCGGTAAGTAGGGTGATGGATGTGTTATGTAACATTTTTACGCTCGCCCCCACTATTCTCATCAATTTGAAATGTGAAGCGTACGCTGAATATTAGTAAGTCCGCTCTATTCTCGGTGATTGTCAAATAACCTCGACAATCATTTATTGCTGAAAAACCTCAGCAATCATTTACTCGTCGAATAACCTCGGCAATCATTTTAATTCAAGTACCCTAGGTATCGACAAGCCTATGAGTTCCATCTCTCGGTGATCCCATTATCACCTACTCGCTCTATTACTCTTTCTCGGTAATCTTATTATCACCTATCGCTCATAATGGAATTACCCATCCTTGTAGCACACGAGTTAGTGGAATCATCCCTCGCTTAACGGTGTTAGTAATAGAGCACGCACATGGTTTCATGCTCGTTACCCATTCCATTCGGTTCGGTTGCCAAACCATTTTATCTCATGTCTCAATGATGTTTCTCGATTTCATATCACCCCTAAATGCACGTGATGCACATGGTATTATGTTTAACACATTCAACTAATTATGCTATCACCATTTTCCTCTCGAATCGTTCCCGTGTCCAACGCACATTCGGGACTTCAAAGGTGTTTCATGTACCATTTAAAGTGTTCAAAATGAGAATACAATTTCCGTTCATCGATAGCATTCATTGCATAAATCTACTTCGTACTTATGAGTTTTTTCTTTTTGTGTACCGGGTAAGTCTAGGCTCGGATTTCCGATGTATAACTTAGTATATGAGACTCGATTAATCCTAAGGATTTATACGTGACATAATTAAGCTAAATTTTTACTTAATCTAAACATTTAATCTTAGCGAGTCAAAGTCGACTCATAAAGGGTCTAGGTTTTAATCTTGATTTTTCTTTAATTCTCTTCTTCCATTACCCTATTTATATGTCTTGTAATCATTGATCTCTACTTGCGTTCATCTTCACTTCTTGATCTCTACTTACACAAAAGGGATTCAATGTTAATCATTTTCTCTCCTAGGTGAAATGGTTCCAAAATAAACAAGAAATTGTTTTTCCATTTCTAGGTCACTTCCTTTTTAATGACTTACCAACTCATACTTAGAAGAGTTACCATGATATTCTAGGACCTTAATTTCCTCAAAAGATCAATTCTTTTCCCATTTTCCCCATTTGGCCGAATGGTTTTGAGCCTAGGGAAACTCTTGAAGTGTATTCTTTTTTCTTTCTAAGTTAAGCTTACCAAACCTAGGTTAAGTTCAATCCATTCGGTCTATACACTTTTTCTTTCTTTTTCCTTTCCAACCCATCCACATATTTAAACCTATCAAACAAGCTTTGTATGAAAACAAAATATATAAATCCATCACAATTTAGCAAGCCCTAACACCAACACAAACAACCATAGCAATCCATAGAAAAATTATTACAAACCCATGAAATAAAAACAAAAAAATAACTTAAAAAATAAATTAAGACATTAATCAACCAAAAATGAAACCTAATTACCTTTCTTGAATTTCCTAAAGGTTGGTTAAGCTTTCCCTTCTTTCTTTTCTTTCTTTTTCTTTTTCTTTTTCCTTTCCTCTTCTTCTCTTGTTTATCGTTTTTCTCTCCCAATTTTGGTGCCTATAGCTGCCTAAAATTTTCTTATCATTTGCACTCTTTCTATATATATATACATGCTTAAAGTCTTGGTCTAAGTAAGTGTATAAATGGCTGGATTTAATTTGAAACGATTGAAAGTTAATGGTGAGTCATGAGAGAGAGGTGGCGAGATTTGAGACAAAAGTGGGTGAGTTGGCTATTAATTCATTTAATGCATTACTTAGGTGTCTACTAAAAATCTTAGGTTAAATATACACCCTAATTAATTTGATTCAAGTAAATAAACATAGTTTCCTTTATGAAATTTCAGAAATTTCTTTTCTTAAAACTTAGAAATTTCCTTGTCCATTCTTTTCCCAAAAATTCCAACGGTGATGCTTCAAGACCAATCTACACTAAAATGGCCATAACTCTTTATATATATGTCTAAAACTCACAAAATTGCATACAGAGCTAGTAGACACATAAACGAACAACCTTTATTCTTGAAGTGTTACCCAGAAATCACTCTAAAGTCCTAAAATAAATCACACACAAATTCGAGCGAGAATGTAGTCCTTAGCACATCGATCGACACATCGATATATATATATATATATATATATATATGATTCACATAAAATAGTTCTCGGCACACTCGATTTTGATTATATATATATAATTCACATAAAATAGTTCTCGACACATCGATCAACGCACCGATTTTGATTATATATACAATTTTTTTTATGGGGGTTACAATTCTCCCCTCAAAAGAAATTTCATCCCCGAAATTGACTCATACTAATAGTTTTGGGTATTTGTCTCTCATTTCTTCTTCCCGTTCCCAAGTCAATTCTTCGAGGTCGTGATTTTTCCACATAATCTTAACCATGCTAATTTCCTTATTCCTCGGTCGTTTGACTTGTTTATCTAGGATTTGGACCGGTCTCTCCTCGTATGTTAAGTACTGCGGTGAGGTTCGACAACTCCATCTCCAAAATTTGACTCGGCTCTCCTATGCACTTCCTTAGCTTGGACACATAAAATACATTATGTACTCCCACTAACGATGACGAGTAGCATCTATCCTTATCATGTTACTAAGGGGCCATACTAATCTTCCCTATATCATGCCAAGTTTATCAAATGTCCCTCCTCCTAAGGACTCGCTATAAGATATTCTATCACTAATTTTTCGGGTTTACCTTTTGATTAGGATAAATATATAATATCATATTCAATCAAAGCATAAGTAATCGAGCTAAGATTGAGACCTTATCGTAATTCACTGTTACATCCCTCCGAGTAGCCTCCTTCGCATCATCATGTAAACCCGAGCAGGTGCCCTTCCCGATCCTAGTTTTGGTGCTTCGGGGTAATTATGGGCGACGTATCCTTACTTGTGACAAACATAGCAAGTTCTCCAATCTGATCGCACTCCCTTCCATGGAAATTTCCACACTTATTGCATCGGGGTTCGTTACCCATTATTAATCTCGACCGATGACCCGATAGCGGCCTAGAAATGTATGGTGTCGGTCTATCGGTTCGTACATTTCCTTGATCACCATCTTAACTAAAATGCCTAGGCAGGGATCGTCTTAATGGTCCGAGCGAAGAGGCTTCCGACTTGAATGTTAATTTCTTCTGCTACGCTTCTTTCATAATTTCTTTCGATCCTCGTCCGCTAGCATCGCTTTATCTACCATTTCTAAAAAAGTATCGATGGCATACATTCGTACCATGCTTCGGAATCTTACGTTCAGCCTTGCTAAGAATCGATTCTTTTCAAATTTTCATCCCCAACAATGAATG